TGGCTGTGCAGGGATGGAGGAGTGAAATAAAGAAGAGAAAGCACTGCACAGTGTTCCCCACAGGTTTTGGAGCAAGCTCATCTGGATTCAAATCGCAGTATTTCCACTTGATATTATGTCTAAGCACATGTAATCATTTTTATAGGTCAAAGACTGTCAAATATTGGCAATTTCAAATGGTTTAGTCTAGTCACTGTGTGACCATGGTAAGCTACTTAACCTTTTTGTGCCTCAGTTTTCTCCTATGTAAAATGGGGATAATAATATACCCACCTTATAGGGTCAATATGAAAATTGAAAGAGTTGACATTTGTAAAGTGTTTAGAATAGGAGGTGTCTGGCATGTAGTAAGAGCTAGTGTTTGTACAAGAAAATAAAGCAATGGGAAGATCAAGTATTTATTTCTTCCTCACTTACTCCTGCTCCCTACACAGCACTAGCGTGGCCCAGTCTCCGGCCCAGGTGGTCAGAGTGAGCTCTAACTTAAATGACAGGTGTACCACTGGGTGCCAGGCTTGACTATCAGCCAGGACAGGACAGGGCAGGCTCACGAAAACTGTACCAGCTGGCTGCTGCTCCTCGGCCATGCTTCGGCAGGGTCTGGCTGCACTGAAGAGCCAGACCACCGATGTGCCAACCTCCCCTCTCCTCACAGTAGTCTCTGGGCAAGAGAATGCCTTGGAAACCAAGCAGCCCAGGCGGAGCTATCACTCTCTCATCCTGTGTCCTGCACACATTTCCACACCTCTCCACAAGTCTCAGACTCCCACTGGAGATGGAGCCAAAATTCCTGCATCTAAGGTTCTTGTGAGGACTACACAAGACAATGGAGACACAGCATACAACACAGACTGATAGCTATAATGTGCTGGATAAATAACACTTACTTTTATTTTCTCCTTGCGTTCTCCATCTGCCCACTAACATCTATCTGGACACTTCTACTGTACTTCATTTTTTACTATTGCTTCCTGATGAAATTAATGTTTATTGTTTTAAAAAGGGTGGGAATAAGAAAATTAAAGTCACTCAGAATCCCACTATAAATAATCAGTGTTAATATTTGATTATTTTTCTAAGATCACATACAGGTATATACATACCTTTTCAACGTTTTTTGAAAAAAACTGGTACCATTCTATTGATTGCTTTATATTCTGCTCTTTTCCATTTAGAAAGTTATTTTTCCAAAGTATTAAAAAATCCAGCAATTTATATAATATCCTATTACTTAGGTGAATTATGATTTATTTTCTCATTCTTTTATGATTATATATTTACATTATTTTCAGTATTTTGTTGCTGTAAATGCTCTTGGGATAAACATTCTCACTCACAGATTAATGCCTGCATCTCACTGTTTCTGCAGACAGATCCCTAGGCACCTGAATAAAGGGGCATATAAATATTTTCTTTTTTTGGTTACTCCTCCCCTGAGGATATTTTTTCCACTGATTTTTAGAACAAGTGGAAGGGAGGGAGAATGGGAGGAAAGAGAGGGAGAAGGAGGCAGGGGGAAGAGAGAGAGAGATCCATGTGAAAGACAATGATTGGCTGCCTCCCGCACACACCGTGACCAGAGCCGGGGATCAAACCTGCCACCCAGATACATGCCCTTGATCAGGAATCAAACCCACGTCCCTTCGGTATGTGGGCTAAAGTTCTAACCACTGAGCACACCAGCCAGAGCATCAATATTTTCAAGAGTTTCAATACATGTAGCCAACTGCTTTCCAAAAGGTATATCAAAAAGACAAGTTATACCCCTGGCTGGGTGGCTCAGTCAGTTGGAAAGTCATCCCATACACCAAAACGTTTTGGGTTAGATTCCTGGTCAAGGTATATACCTAGGTTGAGGGTTCTATCCCTGGTCATGGATCATATGGGAGGCAATTGATTGATGTTTTTCTCTCACATCGATGTTTCTTTTGATCGCAAAAAAAAAAAAAAATCAATAAAAATATATCCTCAGGTGAGGATTAAAATAAATAAAAAATAAAGTTGTTCTGCATATAAAAGGGTGACCATCTGTCCTAAACCATATCACTAGATTCTTTCTCAGCACTGAGTATTTGCCAAATTTTAGGCAAAACATGGTGTTTCTCTGGTGTTGACTACCTTCATTTGTGAGCGCACCTGCCTCCCCAGCATGTTCTCTCCACATGTTGTCAGCGGTGACAACCCTGACACAAACATGTATATTTTGGTAGGGTTCCCACTTCCCCTGCCAAACTGGCCTGCCTGTCTAGAGCATGTCCTCAAGTGATACCAGGAGAGAGGAAGTGAGACTGAGCACCGCTTCCTCTGTCCGACAGTCACTTGGGTGTGCCTGCCACTATGATGAGGATAGTGGCTGATGGAGACCACAGCCACCAGCCTGACATCTGCTAAAGTGCAAAGTGGGGCTTCCCACCAGCCCTCTAACTGCAGAGGCCGAGCAGGAGCCCTGGGGTGAGGGTGGGAGAAGCCCTGACTTTCACACATCTTTCTCTTCTAATCCACTAATTTTGTAAAATAAATACTGCTGCTGAAATATCTTTGAGAGGGCAGTGAATGCTGAAACAGATATGCATTTACAAGACCAAACAAAGGCACTGGAATGTACAGGTGTAACAACTGACATTATATCAGTGTCAGCATTAGGGACTTTTTGGATTAAGTAAGACAGTCATCAGGTTTTCCCTTTGGGACAAGAACTCTGAAAAGCATGTGCTGCATAACTGTCCTCAACAAAGCCGCCCTCTCGCCACCAGACCCAGACTGAATAGCTTCAGGTGCAAACTTACCATCTTTTTGTTGTCCTGCTTGTTAATGCTGACCACAGACTCCTTTATTACAATGTGAGTGATTTCAGGGAAGTACGAAAAATTGTTCCACTCTTCTCGGACTTTGTTTTTCTCCTCGTCCTTCTTGTGTTTATTTTCCAGTTTTTTCCGTTTCAATTTATTTTTTTCCTTTTCAACAGGAACCACCTGACAGTGTGCATAAAAGTGACAGAGTTGAGTGGGCTTTCTCATTTTCTATTGGAAGAAGGTCACTGCTTCTAGGAAACCAGTGCAGAGCCTACGTCCAGGGAGAAGAAGCCAGCATGCCTGGATTTCAGAGGAATTGGGAGAGGGCACCGTGGGCTTAAGATCAGTTTTGGGTCCTACCAGGGAATATTAGACTTTTACATCTAGAGGAGACCTTAATGAGCACAATGACTTAACTCCTTACATAATCTATGATGTACAAGTAAACTCAGAAAGGCAAATAACTGCGCACTAGACACACATCTACAATCAAGTCCCCTTAGTCCTGCAATCGTATGTTCAACAAATGCAGAGAACATGCTTTTTCCAACTATGGATAGAACATGCGTGTTCTCGCTCTCAAATCTATCACTGTCTCAGCTTTACAATATTGAAGTGAAAATTTTCAAAAGAAGGTATAGATGTCTGAATAAATCTAGGGGGTAAAATAGTTTAAATATTTTGTGCAGCATGAGTCTTGAAGGCTAGAGATCTGGGTTAAGATCCTGCCTTTGCCAGTTACTTCACTAGTTAGTTCATCTCTTTGTGCCTCCATTTCCCTAACCTTAAAGCAGAGATCCTACATCTTCACAAGGTTCTTTGAGAATTAGGTAAGTTCCTGTTAACACAGTACCTACTACACAGAAAGCACTCAGTGTTAGGATTGTTAATTAAGCAAGACAAAACTAGAGAAAATAAATCCCACCTTTAATATTATTTGTAATAATGATGGTAGCAACTATAATAATTAACTGAACATTTATTATATGCCAGGCTCTGTGCTAAATGACATTTAGTTCTCACAACCACCCTACCAGGTACAAATACTTTAATGATAAGCTTGTAGCTGATATAGGTGAAGTAACCCTTGGCCATGTAACTACAAATAGTGAAGCTAGGATTTGAACCAGTTCCATTTAGGTTTAAAACCCGTGCTTTGAAATCACTCTGCTCTATTGCCTCATTTAACAAATACTTCATAAAGAAGCTTCAAATTAAAAAATCAATTATCCTATTTCATGGAGTCAGAGGCCCAAGTTCAATTTTTAGCATAATCACTTATTAGTTATGACCTTGGACAAGTTTCTTAACTTCTCTGTATCTCTGTGTGTTCATCTATAAAACAGAGATAATGGCAGTATTCCCTTCCAAGGTTTTTGTTTTTATAAGGAATAAATGAGTTAATACATGTAAAATGCTTTGAAAAGTACTCTTGGTACATGGTAAACACCCAGGAAATATCTGCTGTTATTATAATACTACATATTATATGTTATTATATTTCTCTATTTCCCTATAATAGCCAATAAACGTTTATTTAGACTTACGGCTACATGGACACAATAAAAGATGAATGATAGCCCTGGCCGGTGTGACTCAGTTGGTTGGGCATCTGCACTTAAGAGGTCGCCAGTTTGATTCCTGGTCAGATCACAGGCTAAGGTTGTGGCTCCATACCCGGTAAGGGCCGTGCAGAAGGCAGCCAATCGATCTATCACTCTCACACCACTGTTTCTCATTCTCTCCCTCTTTCCTCTCTCTTTAAAAATCAATTAAAAATCCTTAAAAAGAAAAAAAAAGGATGAATGACATGGGTCTCCTGCCTAAACAAACTCAGCTGATGGGGTGATGGACATGCAAACAGGTAACTCCAATGGGATTTACTCTGGATGCTCTGTTTTGGTCAGCCACCTATCACCACTTACATTTGGTTTCTGCCTCCATTGGATTCCAAGATTTCCAGTCACCATCACTTCATAGTAGAGAACATTTCCACTGTCATTCGGTTTAAACCAATTCATCTCATTTTCCGATGAAATCAGTAACATGGAAGTCTCAAATATTTCAGCACCGTAATGTTTTGTCAACGTTTCCAAGGTCGCCAGGTATTTCACCTTCAGGTCATGCGTGGACACGCTGCTGTCACAAATGGTCTTGTTGTTAAATTCCTTTAGGAAATCCTTGAAGACATTATTTATCCGCATCCTGGTAAGAAGGTTCCTCTGTCTGATGGACTTATTCAATGTTTCTGGAATATATCGCTTGTAGCTAAAAGAAAGTAGAAAAATCATCCTTTTTTTTCACAAAGAGGTTAGCAGAGAATAGTTTACAAACAAACCTAAGTCTATAAATCTTCCTTCCACGTGTTGTCAGATGAGAAAGAAGGATCTACTCCCAGATCATTAGATGGAGTGAGCACCGCAGAGGATAGTCATCAGGAGGTAGACAGGTCAAAAGGGACTGAGAGAGAATAGAAAAGTACATATTCCACAGATTTTATTGCGATGGGAATTCCTGTGAGTACCATCAAATTGACTTAGCTATGCTCTTGCTTGCTAGTGCCATTGTCCTGTGCATACTGGTTCTCACATAAACATACTAAGATACAGCATTGGTTTGAAAGTGGTCTGAAAGGTGTCAAGAGTGATAATTGGTGCTTTCTATGTTTTACTTGCATGTCTGTTTTATAATTTTCCTATGAAGACCACATACTGTTTTTTATTAGAAATGAAAAAATATATATAGTAGTATCCCAGTGCATGAATTCATGCACATTAAAAGGCAATTAATTAGAAGAAAACAATTTTTTAAATACATATTTCTTTATTGATGTGAGAGAGGAAGGGAGAGGGAGAGAGAGAGAGAGAAACACCAATGATGAGAGAGAATCATTAATCGGCTGCCTCCTGCACACCCCCTATTGGGGATCGAGCCTACAACCCAGGAATGTGCCCCTGGCTGAAATCGAACCTGGGACCCTTCAGTCCGCAGGCCAATGCTCTATCCACTGAGCCAAACCAGCCAGGGCTAGAAGAAATATTTTTTAAAAAAATCTATTTTATTGATTTTTCACAGAGAGGAAGGGACAGAGAGAGAGAGTTAGAAACATTGATGAGAGAGATACATCGATCAGCTGCCTCCTGCACATCTCCTACTGGGGATGTGCCCGCAACCCAGGTACATGCCCTCGACCAGAATCGAACCTGGGACCTTTCAGTCCGCAGGCCAACGCTCTATCCACTGAGCCAAACCGGTTTCGGCAAGAAGAAATATTTTAATATTGCTATTCACGTCTTGCTAATGAAAAGAAAATGGGATTCTTTCAAGTCTCCTATCTTCCTACTCCAGGACTTCTGCAAGGACCAAATGAAATGAGGCACAGGAAATGCTTCACAAACATTTGGTTAAAGTGTAAAATGTCTGCACCTGGCTATAAAGCAAGTCAAGTCCCTAGGCCAGTGGTCGGGAAACTGCGGCTCACAAGTCACATGAGGCTCGTGAGCCACATGTGGCTCTTTGGCCCCTTGAGTGTGGCTCTTCCACAAAATACCACGTGTGGGTGCGCATTAGTGAGCCGCGGTTTGCCGACCACTGCCCTGGGCTGAAGAAACTCCAAGGAGGCTAGTCACTAGGGAGAGCAAGCCTGGCATTGCTACGTGACATCATTACCTGGCACCCACAGCCACCATTTCTGGGCTGTGGGTTGCATTTTGCATGATGGGATCTTGGCAGTGTTGGCTCTGATTTGGCGGGGTGTTACTCCGGAGTGGTGGCAGGGCCTGGTCCCACTTGGGGGAAGCCGAGTGTTGGTTTGTCAGTGCCAGGTCCAAGGTGACATTTATTTTTAAACGGCCAGTGCGTGTCATGGCAGCTCCTGCATTGAGCGTCTGACCCCTGGTGGTCAGTGTTAGTCATAGCTACTGGTCTGACAGCCACTTAGCCTTTTACATATACAGGTAAGCTAATTAAAAGTGTATGCCATGTGAAAATGTCCCCACAAGTAAGCTGAAAGATTATCATTCAGCAGGGGGTCAAGGAGAAAGAATCTATGACTAACAGAATCTCAAACTGCTAGACCAGGAGCCAGCTTTATAGAGAATAAGAATACCCATGAAAGAAAGAACAAGTCCACTGGGGGCCAAGCAGGTGGGAAGCCTGGTGTGCCTGTCACTCTGGGCCTGAGGCAGTACTTGGCACAGGGTAACCCCTGCTGTGTGAATGGCTTCAAAATAGTGGAAATTTTGCAGCTGCGAGTTTATCCCCAACAGATACCATAACTTTTTAAGGGTAACGTAATGGAGGGCAAGATTAAAGGAGAGTTGCCAGCCTCTTGAAAAAATAAAGAGGAGGTGCCCAGAGCAAAATCCACAGAAAAAAATAGTAGGAACAGAGCATATATCTCATCAGTACCTCTATAACTGAGAAGCAGTCGTGATCTGCTCCAGACTCCGTCAAGGACAGAGGAAATACAAAGAGATGCAAAAAATAACCTTTTGAGAAAATGCATGCCACCTTTCACAAACAGTGCAGCTACATATCATTTCCTCTTCAAAATGAGACTGTATTCACTTAGGACATCACAATGGCTCATTGGAAAAAAGTTTGTATTTCGTAGATGTGTGGAAATTAAAATTACACAGACTGAATATTACTTCACAAAGACTTGATCGCAACTGACATACAATTTCCTTAAAATACAGCTGACCATCCTTCATATCAGAATAAACAGCTGTCTAGTGAACTCTAGTTCAGTTTAGGGATGGTAGTGGCTACCTGTAGAGCTATACTGAGAAGGATTTTAAGATGGGTCCAGCACAAAAGGAGAAAGTGCAATCATAGATGGCAATGCCCACCGTGGGCAGAGAGGGAAGGGGAGGGCATGTGGGCCACTAATTTGATTGGCATTCTTGGCCCAGGACATTCACCCTCATACACATTTCTGAGGTCATCAGCCAATATTTAAAATCAGGACACAATCATAATTGTGCTACCTTTTATAGATATTCTAAAAACACTTGTACTCTAAGGATCAGCCAGAAGTTGGCAGAGGTTAAACTGAGATGCTCGAGAACATATAAAAATAACACCATCCCCACAATCCATTCTTTGCCAGGAGAAAGATTACCTGATGTCCTTGGGGAGTTCTGGCAACTGCATCTTCTTGATCATGGCGTAGTGTGAGATGGCCAGCACGGCCATGCCCAGGCACTCGTTCTCAATGTCGTGCCCATCCTGCTCAGTCTTGGGGTCTCGGATGGGAGCCAGGCATTTGACCAAATCATACTGTCCCTTTGGAGCAGAGGTAAGAAGAAATGAACCACACTTAAGTTTCAAGCATAAATCCATGCTTCTAATCTTGAGAGGAAAGTTCTCCATACAGGGAAGTGCTACCCAGAGAAGCAACACAGCAATGAAACTAATAAGTCCGATAGTTTGCAACACACAGCAAATGCTGGCTAGGACACGGAGAAAAGGGAACCCTCGTGCACTGCTGGTGGGAATGCAGACTGAGGCAACCATTGTGGAAAACAGTATGGCGTTTTCTCAAAAAATTAAAAATAGAACTGTTTGACCCAGCAAACCCACTTTTGGTAATATATCCTATGAATCCTGAAACACCAATCAGAAAGAATATATGCACCCCTATGTTCACTGCAGCATTATTTACAATAGCCAAGACTGGAAACAGCCCAAGTGCCAACAGATACAAACGTTGATGAGTGGATAAAAACGTTGTGACACATTCACATAATAAAATCCTATGTGGCTGTTAAAAAGAAGGAACTCTGACACCGTTGTAGATACAAACGTTGATGAGTGGATAAAAACGTGACACATTCACATAATAAAATCCTATATGGCTGTTAAAAAGAAGGAACTCTGACACCGTTGCAACAGCACAGATGGACCTGGAGATTATAATGCTAAGGGAAATAGCCAGAGAAAGACAAATATCATATAATCTCACTAATATGTGGAATCTAATGAACAAAATAAACTGATGATCAAAACGGAACCAGAAGCATGGATATATGGAAGAGACTGGCAACTGCCAGAGAGGAGGGGAGGAGAGTTGATGGGATAAAGATGAAGGGATTAGCTAAAGAACATACATGCATACCCCAGGGACACAGACAATAGTTTGATAAAAGCTAAGGGAGTGGGTGGAGAGCAAACGGTGGAAGGGGTGGTGGTGGTGACACATGCAATGTCAACATTAAAATTTGTAATTAAAAAACAAAAAAACAAAACAAAACACTGATAGTTTGTCTGACACCAAAGCCCTTTCTCAACAGCTGGGTGTGAAGGGGCTCAGGAGATGTTCTCCCTAGGCTAATTAATTCATTTAACAAATACTTATTGAGCATATGCTAGGTCCTGATGAAGAGCATGAACATTTATAGGGCTTCCCCTGTAAATGGTGAACAGCAGCGTCGTACTAGGTTTGGATGGCACCAGGGCAAGGGAAGGTGACCGCTGGCCGGGGTTGATCACTCACTAATTCCACAAGCTTGTACTGAGATATCCTCTCTCGGCACTGGGTGTAGGACTGACAAAGCATCACGCCCCATTCTGATGCAGACTTAGAGGAAGGGGAAGAAGCGCACGTTCTACAATGCTCCATTACCACATGTAATTTTTTTCAACATCTGCTGCTCACGTTTCCAGTAGTGAAATGTATAACTAAAATACTGGAGATGCAGAGCATTCCAAGAGCCAATGAGGGCTAAATACATAAATAAATAAAACCAAATGGCTGTACCCACCATCTGCCTTGTACAGACTGATGAAGATGAGGTCAATGCTAGCTCCCCTCTATGAAACCCTTACCTCAGTGCTAGACACTGTACTGTTTCATTTATCTTCACAACAGCCCTATGAGGTACATGTTAACATCATCACTACCTAACAAAGGAGAAATCTAAGGCGCCAAAGGTTAAATGACTTCATTCATTCATTTGATAACTATGAATTACTAAGAACCAATTATAGGCCAGATGTTACTCTAGGTGCTAGGGATATAGCAAACCAAACTACGTCCCTGACCTCATGGAGATTCCATTCTAAGAACAAACCAATAGAAATATTAATTATCAGGTAGTTATAAAAATCAAAGTCAAGTAGAAAAATAACATGGCACAGAGGCCAGGGACCTAGGGAGTGGTGTGGCAGAGTGTCTAACCTAGAGGTGACTCCTGGACTATGGTTGTTCAACTCTGCGCTACAGCCGCACTCAATCCTTACTAACTTAAAACATACAGTACTCTGGGGACTGGGAGCTTTCGCCTTTTTCTAGCTGTAACCAGAGGTAGACAATGTCTGGAGGTGGTGCTCCCACATAAGTAAGCCACTCACTTTCCCTGAAGGGACTTTACTTTTGTGGTTTTGGATGGAGGATTCTCACCAAGGCAGTTCTCCTTCTGTCTAAGACTTCTCTTTCTTCCACATGCCACAGAGCACTGGCCACAATCACCCCGGCCAGCAACGTGTGAAGACAGAACAAACGCCGAGACTATTCTGTTCAGTAAACATCACTGCAAACCTCACGCAGCTCATTCCTGAGGCTCCAAAAGGTCAGATTCCAATGCTATACTGAACTCCTAATGTATGGCACCCTCTTCCGTTACACTTCCTCTCCCCAAAAGGTAAAAGAACTGGGAGGCTGAATTAAAAAAGACCAATCTGAAAATGGCCAGTTCATTTTTTCAGCACTTGCCCACGGCTGTGCGTTTTTCTGTGTGCGCGGGATGGGGATGGAGCGTAATCAAGCACTAAAGCTGTAGCATGGAATATAACTGTGACAAAATCACGTGTATGAAAGTATATCCTAAGGAATCAATAAAGCACTATGCATAAACATGTATGTATGAGGCTGCTCACACAGCCTATAACAATGACAGACAGCATAACAGGGAAATTATCAGACTTAATAAATGAATTCGGCAATGTAGCAGGATACAAAATTAACCCCAAGAAATCTATGGCATTTCTATACACCAAAAGTGAACTTACAGAAAGAGAGACTAAGAAAGCAATCCCATTTACCATCGCACCAAAAAAATTAAGATAGTTAGGAATAAACTTAACTGAGGTAAAAAGAATAAAAACAAAACCCATGAAGCACTTACAGATGAGATCATCAGAGAAAAAGAAATAGAATCATAATCATGTGAGTGTGACTTCATGGGAGTCAAAAATATAGGGAATATCTGGGAATGAATAATCAATGCTTCAAAGCAAGTGAAGAAAGACCAAAAACTAAAAAGAA